GTTCTTCTTCTTCTTCTTCTTCTTCTTCTTCTTCTTCTTCTTCCCTCCACGATCTTCCTTTTCTTCATTCTCTCGCCCAGTTGCTCCTCTTCTTCTCACTGCGATGCTCGTGAAACACGCCCCGGTTGGGTTGGAGAGTAACGTCATCATCGTGGTCATTGATGGAGGCCTTGCTGCCGTCGTCATAGTCATACTTACCTCCATTGGGTCTTATCGCCGACATCGTGATTGCCCTCTCTCTCTCTCTCTCTCAGTACCCTGCTACTCGCAGTGCCATTGCTGCTTAGCCTCATCATCATCATCATCATCATCATCATCATCATCATCATCATCATGATGTCGCCTTTGAACTTTTCCCAAGTATTGCTACCGCTACCGTCATTGATTAAACAAGAACAGCAGCTCTACCTTGTAGCCTTTCAAACACAGCAGCGTGGCAGCCAAGATTTGACATCTTCCTGCTTGTATTCCTCTTTTCTTACTTCCTTCTGATTTTCCTGTTGCTCTCCCCACGCCCACATAATACACTGCAATTGCAGGCAATAGCTGACATCATCACTGTCATTGCCGTGACCACCACAACTACCATCCGCGTCAGCATCACCACCGACCGAATTGTCATGGCCGTACTTTCCCTGTCTTTTCTACAACCGGCTTGCTACTGCACCACCGTCTTCACCCGAATTGAACACCCGGTCATTAACAATGAGTGCATCAGGACTGAAAATTGGGGCAAATGCAACGCCCGGTCGTTGTCAATGCATCAGCACTGAAAATGTTTGCAAATGCAGTTGGACCGGCTGTTCTATTTGGGTGAAGACGGTAGGACTCACTGCTCCTCTGATTTTTTATCACCATCTCCGCCATCACTACCTCCATCATCATCATCATCATCATCATCATCGCTATCTTCGTCATTGTCATCGCCATCACCAGCATCATCATCATCATCATCGCCTCATCTCATCGCTGACTTCTATTGTTACTGATATACGGCCATCACGGGTCGTTGCTACCATTGCCCCACAACAACCTCTGGACTACGTCTGCTCTAAGATCCCCACAGATATAAAAAAAAGGTTTGTAGGTACGTCCAGATGATCCCTCCTGTGGCTGGGGAAGCTGCTAATGTTTGGGAGGGTGGCGAAAGTGGTTTGGGGGGGGGAAGGGGATCACACCGGCCCTCAAATATTAGTAGCCTCCTCAGGCTACTGATTTGTGTTCACCCCTCGACCCCTGAAAAGTTTGTTGAAAAGAGGGAAAACGGGCTTGTCAAACGTGAGTTGAAAAGAGAGGGAGGGGGCTGTGAGAGTATATGCCCTCAGCTTCTGCTTTCTACTTTCTGCTATCGCGATTGCTACCTTTACTGTGAGAAGAACAACACGAACATCAGTTGTATTTTGTCACTTTTTTTCTTTTTTCTTTTCTGTTTCGGAAATAGGTTAGCCCCTAACGTTATTGTATTCATCTGATTCCATCAGGATTCAACCTCATGATCTGTTTACTAACATGTGTGTATCATTCGACCACATGGGCTGCATTCTTGCCACGTGTTTCCACCACTTCACTGCTGGACCCAAAGTTGGTGGGGATGTGCACCTGAGGTAGTGGATGGCAAAGAGTCCACCCTCTGGCTTTGGAAGCCCTTCTGACGTCCGAAACCGCCCTTCTGACGTCCGAAACCGCATGAATGGTTAGAAGCTGACTGTACCTACCTCAGGAGACAACATGTCACACTAGCAGCATAACCGCATGAATGGTTAGAAGCTGACTGTACCTACCTCAGGAGACAACATGTCACACTAGCAGCATAAAGTCCGAAGTCTGCTTTGCAGAATTGATGCTTTTGTTGTGTCGTGGGCCTTTTTTTTTTTTTTTTCGTCTGGTCGATCACAGATCCCTTGTTTTTGCTCTTTCTTTAAAAAAAGGGAGCCCCTGGAATGCATTTTATCCCCCAGGATTCAAACTCTTGATCTGTTTATAAACAACTAGTTGATGTGTGTACCATTAAGTCATATGGCAGCTTCATAGATCCCTTTGATGACAGTCAGAGGACAGTGTCGTCCGAGTCGTCCCCCCTTTTGTAGGGATGGCATCTGGGTGTTGGTGTGCCTCCCTCTGTATGCCCGCTGCCGTTTTCGGTGTTGGGCAAGTAAGGGTCTGCCATAAAAAATGGAGCCATTTGCCCTCCGTAAGGTATTGATGTGTTTAGATTCTTGGGGAATCCCCTTTCTAAATACCGTTATTCTAGTTTCATCTGGAGTGCTGTAACCTGGGCTCATCATGCTGTAGTAGCTGGTCTGACAGACCACCACTCTTATCCAACTAAACTATAGAATTGAGATCAGATGCAAAGTGAGTGGCTTGCTGCTTTCTTCCGTCTCATGAATGAAACAACTGCGACGCGTCCGGTAAAGTCTCTGAGGATCCCAAACAGCTTGGTCACTGGCCAGGCTGCGGTAGCGGCGCCGCCGTGTTCAGAACCCTCACTCAATGTCGGAACAGAACGGTCTTAGGCTGATCCCCTTTAACCGCCGCCAGTACATGGCGCCAGTCAACTTGAGAGTCATGATTGATCACTCCGAAAAAAAAATGGAGGCGCGCGGGCAACCGAGCCAAAATGGCCGGCGGCTCCAGGCAAAACGAAAACAAAAACGCCACTCTGGCGTTTCGGCAAAACTTGGTGCACACTGCACAGCGAGAATCCGCCTCTTGCAAAAAAGATGCACTGGATGAAGTGGTGGTTTAAGGGCCCAAACAGGACAATTCTTAAACCACCAGTACTTCCTAAAGTTGTGCCTGCAGTAACCCTGTTCAACAGCAGACCGGGGCTCAGAACTTTGCCCCCGGTAAGACACAGACTCAGTTGTCTGTGCTGGGCTATGTGACCGAGACATGCCCAGCCTGAGTCTGTCGAGGAGGCTGTGTGACCAAACGCAGCACAAGGGAAATTCAACAGTCAAAGACAACTGTAGAGTCAAAGGTACCGTACCCAGCCCTATGGACGGATACATTCACTTGTTGTGTGCAGGTACCCAGACAGCATTCAGGGCGGGAGAAATACAGTTTCTGGCCGATCTGGGCCCTCATTCATATSGAGATCTGGACGGTGCAGGACCTCAGTACCCGGGGTCCAGACCCCGCATCCACGCTATTTAAGAGTTGACTTCCTGGCTGGAGAACATTCAGTCTTGCGTGAATGCTGACTTCACGCGTGGACTTGACGCTGTTGCTATGCTGCGACATTGCGACATTGGCTTGACGCCGGCTATATGCTGGCAGAGGAGGACAGCAAGGCGCTGTTGGCTGGCAAGGTGCTGGCTGGCGATGGTCTTCTGGGCATGCTGACGTGGCAGCTGCCATGCGCCGTTGCTGACGTGGCCGCTGCCACCTGTATATGATTGATGACGTGGCGGGCTGCGAGATTGATGAGGCTGTTCTGATTCTTCGTCACTTCGGAAGGAGATCAAGACTGTGGTTATCGAGGATACGTACCTGGTTGATGACRATACTCTCCATTTGCTGATGTAGACAGATTGACGTGCCACGTGGCACCTTGAGGAGGAACTTCAGACATTGTATTCAGTCTATTGATTGATGAGGTGGCGAGGAGGAGGAGGAACCCGAAGTAGAAGTGGGTTGTTGTCTTCTTCTCTCTCCTTTGTCTATTCTCCCTCTCTCCTCCTTCGTCTGTGTATGATTCTCACCTCATTCTATCATCACACATATTACGATTGTTTGTCATTTCATCAGCTGATCGATAATCATAGGGACTGGTAATGTTGACGAGTATCATCACGTCTGGGCTCATTGCA